AAATTTCATCATCGGATTGTCATCAGTTTGTCTTCCGTTTGTCATTGGCGAGATGACAAACTGCTGACAAACTGATACCATACGTTTCCACGCGGGAGAGTGCTTATCTTCGAACTCGATCTGTCTTTTTATGATACAAAACGACCCTGAAAATCCCAGGTCGCTATCTCGATTCCATCTCGAGTTATCGTGCGTACAGACGGACAAACAGACAAACGGACAGAATGAAACTTTTTCGGTCAGTGGAGTAATGAGCTTCGCTAATCGCTCAGCCAAAAAAAAGCCCTACATTGAAAAATTTTACAGGAAGTAATACTTAAACCACGCAGTTGACGTCGAACCACACCTCTTCTCAAGGGTCCCTAGATTATTTGCTATCACTAACATAACAATCTGTCTACATTCGAACTTTTAATGAAAACCTTTATCGAACAGCAGACGTTTCAATTACCTAATTTTTTTAGAGTAAAATCCGAAAAGCCCACATTATTCCTATTCACGTGCGCAGACCGGGCTTCAAATTAGAAATCGTGCGAATGTTGTTCTTACATAGTGATACGAGAAATTACGTAACTTCATGGAGGCACTATGAGTGGCCGGAAGGCATTGTTCCCGAATACCCTCCCATTAACTCGTCTCGGGTGTCTGCGCCGCAGGCCTAGCTTCTAGGTATATGTGCGCCAGGCGCGTCGCAGCGTAACAGTGTTTCGAGAGATATCGCGAAGCCTGTTAGCGAGACGTGGTCTTGCATACATATAGCTTGTCATACTTGACATAACCATTTCACTTAATTTTATTCTGCAAAGTTGTATATTAATTGTGGTCTAAATAATTGACTACTATCTTTTGATAAATGTGAGATTATAAAATTTCAAATTTTTATTGACTTTGACGCATCCTTCGATGGGGCGCTTTTAAACAATGGTTTGGTCAATGTACGAAAGAATGCGAAAAGATGATTTAGGACACCTTAAGACATTCAAAATACATTTACAATTGCAATTATAGTTTCGCAAAATAATGAAATTTCTCTTAACACAAAGTTACCCGCGATTTTTTTACAGTGCACTTATTGCGGATATTTGTTCAGTTTAAATTTATTCAGAGTGGTCAAACCTACAAAATATGTTGTGAAAAATTCACACGTTGTCATTGAATAGACGATTTACAGGCAAATATGGTGAGGTAAAGCAAACTGTATGGTTTTAGGTGGCAGGTCCGAATTCAGGAATCATGATTGTACGACCTATACCTCACCTCACGCAGGTGTTCAGTTGGCCGTGACCCGTCCCCACGTTGTGACGCCACCGAGTCAACCAATTCTTTGCTGGCCCACTTGAAGTCGTATGCCCATCCCACTTTCGCAAAACCGTCGAGAGCGAAAGTTGTGAAATTACAATAATAGGGCAGCTCAGATGTTTTGTAGTCCCATGGGAAGGTATGATGATAGTTGTGCCATCCCTCGCCCATAGCTAGAAATGATACCATCCAGAGCTCTGTTGGGCAGATTTGCCTGCAGTTAAAAAAAGGGGTTAATGAGTCTGATCACCTGCTCCAGTTAGATTTAAGCTTTTCAGTGGAAAGCATGTCAAACTCACTTATCGTATGGTCTATCTCCAACCATGTGGGCAAAGCTATTAACAGTCACTGCAATGTTGATGAACACCACAACTCGTACAATGCTTGCCAGAGAAGAGACTGTCCACGTCTCGTTCCAAGCAACGACTGGTATGACGGTAGGGATTATAAAGGCGCATAAAATAACCAAAAGATAATGGAACCTGAGGAAAGAGATGAAACACTGTTATAAAACCAGGGGCTACCTCGGAACTCGACGCGTCCTAAAACAAGCTAGGCCCGCTCTTCCGCCCAACCAAGTTGCCCGCTCCGCTTCGCTCCACCGGCAACTCGGTTCAGCAGGGAGCGGGCCTAGCTTGGCCTGCCGGTGGCGTTTGGGACGGGCCTTCGACCCGTTCCTTCTGATTTTTTCATGGTGTAATAAGGCTTCCATCGGAAAACGGGCCTTCGGCTCGTTTAAGTGACAGCTGGCTTTGAACCCTATTTTTGCCAGTTACCTTTGCTGTCTACTTCGTAATCAAAACTCGACAAATGAAGCATTCTTTTTACACGCTTAACAATAATCGCACAACCGATCATATTTCTCTTAAGTCCGCAGACCACAGAAAACATACCGATGCTCAAACTGCACAACAGAGTCCGCCAATACATCACTGAAGTCAATTTTCGCCCCCTGCCGTTTCACCTCTGGATGTCTGTGCATCATAGCCCAGCCTATGTGACAGTAGAAAAAACCTCTCTTTGAGTTATGAGGATCTGCATCAGTGTCCACGTATTTATGATGAGCCCGGTGGTCTCGCACCCACTGGAGGACGGAAGTCTGCAACCAAAATGGACATTAGTAAACCATCCAGCAGGCCTTGTTACGGCCACGAGGACGATCACAAGGAGGAACAGGTTGTTCATGGGTTTTGTTTCTTTGCAAAGTTGTACTCCCAACTCTGAGATCAATTTGGGGACTTTGTAGTTAATAGGCCTGTGAAGTGTGAACGCATTAAACGGTCCAGGAAGCGGAAGAAGGGGATAACTGCAAAACCACAAGTATTCAGGAAACACCAAAAACTGTTTTACGCTTCAAATTCAAAAAAGGGATGGCCAGCCGGGACCGGGCCTCGGCCGAGGGGTCCCCTACTCGCCAACTCGTTGTACTCGAGGAAAAATACTTTGCAGATACTCGCGACAACTCGCGAAAAAATCGCGAAAACTCGTGAAAAAATGTAGAAATACTCGCCTCATACTCGCGGATGCTCTCCATTACTCGCATAAACTCGTGAATACTCGCTAATACTCTTGAATGGCGGATACTCACGCAACTCGTTGTACACCCACTTGGAGAGCAGGGTGTGGCTTATGAACGCCTTTTTCGATTTTGAAAACTCCTTACCTCCTAAATTACTACATTTTCATTGCAGTTTCCGAGAATAATTTTCTTATTTTCTTCCAATATTATCTTCAGGTCGCAACTTTGCCTCAAAGTTTGAAAAATCGCTATTTTCCCACTTAAACGTAAGCTTTGCCCGAAAATCGACCCAGAGCATTCCAGAAACGTCACACCTGTGCCGAATGTTTTCAGTAGGTTGAGAAAGAAGTTTTCAGCCCCTGTGGTTCATGGTAATTCCAGAACGAGAGAATTATACTTCGAAAAAGAGTAAAAACGACTGAAAATGCAACAAAACGCGAGGGGGAAATCACTTGCGTACTAACTCGAACACCCAGGCCTGTACTAAAGGCGCACTAACGGCGTACTAACGCGTACTAATGGCAGAAATAATGCGTAATAGTGCCGTGATAACGCATTTTGGAAAAAATGTGAAAAATTGCGCTAAAAATTGGGTGTACTAACGTGTACTAATGTACTAACCCGCGTGGAAAACTATGGCATCAGATTGTCATCAGTATGTCATCTTGCCGATGACAAACGGATGACAATCTGATGACAGACTGATGACAAAACTGATGACATACTGATGACAAATGGATGACAAAACGGGAATTGGCGTTTGTCATCAGTATTTGATCATTTTGTCATCCGTTTATCATCCATTTAACATCGGATTGCCATCAGATCACAATCTGATGATAAACGGATGACAAACGGGCTGCTTCCGTCGCTCCAGATGGTTGGGGAATGTTCCAACCGAACATGCTTTACACGAAATGCCCCAGTCTTTACTAGCCTATACGGTGTCTAAGTCGTGTAAATGGAGTGACGATAAGTCGATCGGAGGGTGGAGCTCAAGTCATCCGCGTAAACTTTTTATTCTGAGCACGATGGTGGTGTTAAAAATTCTGTAGCTATAGCCGTTTAAAAGATGATTTTCGAATAATTTTTTTTCTCAGAAATGGATAGAGTATGTTATCCTCATACACCACAGTAAGCCGTTTTGCTCTACGACGCTTACTTTAGGCATGAGAGGGAAATGCGGTCTACCAGAAAAACATAAGGCGGGAAAGTTCAAATGCCCACCGTTAGGCTGGAGCTGGCTGGAGCCGTCCCCCGACCATAGTTTGCCATCCGTGTGTCATCCGTTTGCCATCCTTTTGTCATCGGATGATAATCTGACGATAAATGGATGATAAACTGATGACAAAATGATGACATACTGATGACATACTGATGACAACCGCCTATTCGCGTTTTGTCATCCGTTTGTCATCAGTATGTCATCAGATCATTTTTATATATATCGTGAAATAAGTTAATTTTTGAACAGAATCGACTCCCAGGACTTAGCCGAGAGCCGCAGGCTGGCGGAGCCCCGGGCCAGGCCGCGCTCGCTCGCCTGTCCGGTCCGCCGTCCTCAGCTCAGCGCACTCCGCTACAGCGGTGCAGTGCGGGGGAGGGGGAGGGGGACATCTTTTGTTCTCGCGACTCCTCTCCTGTCGGCCGACTCGGCCACGTCCACGTCCAGGTAGCGTCCAGCCAGTAGCCCTCCATAGTCTATTCACCTATCGGGATCCTGGGATATTTGACGAACTATGACAGCCTCCCGCACCGAGCTGGCACCGGCCGCCGGCAGTCACCCTGGCAGCCTCGCCTCTGCGCTGCCGACAGTGGCGACCTCTAGCGGATTTCGCTCGCGACCGAGGCGGTGTAAACGCCTTAAGGGGTCAATTCGATTTGCGAGTATGCAAGTAGAACCTACAGGTAAGAAGGGATAAGTCTACTTGACTCATTTTTCATTCCATCATATCCCAGGAACTATGGTTCGTAGGCAAACAGTTTTTTTTTCGGAGAATGTGCCACTTTTACTGTGGATTTACGTCCACTACAAATCTAAGTTTGGGGTTATGTCAGGTAATCCCTTCTTCCGCTTCCTGGATCAAATTTCAAATCAAAAAGGTTAACCTTTGTAGCTATGCAAACAAGCTCCCTCTGCCATTTTATGATTTGACGCTTCCTTGTACGTCTTTATGTACAGCATGTTGATTGTCACCGTATTTTCGTCGAAAGAAACGCTTTAGTGCCTAAACTATGCAAATTAGAGCCAAACGGATAAAAACTTTGTCTGAGCGATAGCGAAGCCTATTACTCCAGTGATGGTCAAAAAGTTTCGTGTCCGTGGGGTGGATAGGATAACTCCCCTGCCAAATGTACACCTCTAATTCTGCCCAATTCAAACTAATTCAGACCAATTCAATCTAATTCAAACTAATTCAAAAGTAATTCAACTAATTCAGTCCAATTCAAGCCAATTTACATTCAATTCAAGTCAATTCAAGCCAATTCACGCTAATTCAGTAGAATAAAATCACAATAATTCAAACCAATTCAAAAACAATTCAACCAATTCAGTCCAATTCAAATTCAATTCAAGCCAATTCAAGCTAATTCAAATTCAATTTTTGAAATATGTACACCCAATTCAGGAGTTATCCACTAGAGGGTAGCGTAAAAAAAGGATTTGAGATATTGAAATGGCGGGTATGCGGAAAAGTTGTCTTTTTAGATGAAGAATCCAGTGCAATTTTTTATTTTGAGATCGGACAATATTTTCCGATCGCGCAACGAGCTCTAAGTTAAGCATTAGCTCATATGGGGAAAATCGTCAAAAACCATGAAAAAATGAAATATCAAATTTAGGCTTTGTACGTGATGTTTATTGAAAATCTGTTCTCAGAAATGCAATCTACGCCAAAAAAGGCATCCGGTGATGTATCACACTTGACATTGCAACCCATGGTTTAGGCGGTGTAGGCTGCATAATCCAGGTATCAATTTAAGCCCAAATTGCATCAAATTGCACAAAAGTCATCAAATTATGCAGCCTACACCGCCTAAACCATGGGTTGCAATGTCAAGTGTGATACATCACCGGATGCCTTTTTTGGCGTAGATTGCATTTCTGAGAACAGATTTTCAATAAACATCACGTACAAAGCCTAAATTTGATATTTCATTTTTTCATGGTTTTTGACGATTTTCCCCATATGAGCTAATGCTTAACTTAGAGCTCGTTGCGCGATCGGAAAATATTGTCCGATCTCAAAATAAAAAATTGCACTGGATTCTTCATCTAAAAAGACAACTTTTCCGCATACCCGCCATTTCAATATCTCAAATCCTTTTTTTACGCTACCCTCTATTATCCACCCCTCGTTCGTGTCTGTCTGTATGTACGCACGATACCTCGACCGGCGCAGACAACAAAATAAGCGTCCATGTATAATTTGAACACGCCTTAAGTCCTAAATCGATGTCGCGTGTAGTTTTTATGTAGCGACGATTCTTACGAATACTTACGTTTCACAGGCCTGACCCCTTAGAAAAAGTTTCAAGAACCACAGGCACAGGTGGCCAAAAATCTTTTCCCAAAATATGTTTGTAATGTTTCCTAAATGGTACTTCGTACATTTATGGCTTCCAGGCAAAAATTTCAACCGTTTCTCCCTTTCTTGTACCGTTTAGGCCCAAGAGATCACTGTTCGATGAAAATAAGGTATAGATAGCTAAATGGTTCACTTTTCAAGGAATCTGGCAACAATTGCACCAGTAGTGACTACTTTTTCTCATAACCCTTAGTGACGTTTCACTTATTTCGGAGTGCCCCTTATAGAAAATAGACATCTATAGATGGCGATAGATGGTCTAGTACCCATCTAGCAGGTCGAACTGTGTAGACGTCTACACATAGATGTTTAAAAGATGTTGATTAGACGTCTTCTGCTATCTTGTCTAACTGTAGATGGGGTGTAGACGCCGGGAGACGCTCTACATCCTATCTAACCCATATATGCGTTTAGATGGCTTTCTGTAGATAGGGTATAGACGCTGAAAGACGCTCTACATCCTATCTAACCTATCTATGCGTTTAGATGTCTTTCTGTAGATAGGGTATAGACGCCGAAAGACGCTCTACTTACTATGTAAGCAATCTATACATTTAGATGTCTTGCCGAAGATGAGGGGTGGACGTCACAAGGCACTCTACGTCATGTCTAAGCCATCTAAACGCTTAGATGGCTTGTGGAACACACACTAAATACTGATGAACGTTTTTGTTCATAGTTACTGGGTTACTGAGTAACTATAAACAAAACTGTTTGTTCGTAGTTACTGAGTTACTCAGTAACTATAAACAAAAATGTTCATCAGATTTTAGCGTGCATGAGGCGTCGCTTCCGATAGCCTTTCTAGTTAAGGGTAAGCATCTATGACATGACAAGTCTTAAAGTTATATGACATGTAAACGTCAAGGTATGCTCTACTTCTCGTCGATGCCATCTATGCTTTTAGATAAGCATACTTTCTCGAATTTCCGCCAGATGGCGCATCTTTCGGACAAGGGCTGTTTTTCGTCTTTATGCCAAATATTTCTTAATCTTTTAAATATTCCGTTTCGACTTGTTGATATTCGGGAAGAGCGTTATTTTATTAATGTGCCTGCACGTTTTATTTGCAATTAAAGATTAAATTCACAATTTTGTTCTACGTTGAAATCCGTTCTCGCTGACCACTCACATTACGGGCACATGTACCCTCAGCACCTTTCCGGCTTACAGTATGGTCTCTCAAACAGCTGAGAGAACCATTTAATTTTTGTACTAAGTGGAAGTGGAAGGTTCCAGTTGGGCCTGCGTTTCACACCTAACGTCATAAAGTTGATGCTTGTTTTATCTTAATGATAAAAAGGCACTTTTGACATGATTGCCCTATCATCAATGTTGATTCTCTAACATCTAATTCACGTCTACACAACGTCTAAGAACCAATCGAAGCGTGGACGTCCACGTCCACAAGACCTTTTACTGCATACTTCTATTCCATGTCTGCACTTGGACGTCTGAAAGATCTCATTTTCGCGGCCAAATTTGACATCTATTAGAAATCTATGGTAGATGGTCATTAGACGTCTAGGCATCTATCCTTAGACGTCTTTTCGACATCTATGACACGTCTACTTTCTATTAGGGGCAAAAGCCCCCGACCGATGCTGTGAGCACGTCAAATTGTGAGGCCGCTATGAGGCCGTCTCCGTATGCGATTCTTCAACAGTCTCGAGGAGAATCAAATAACTTTACCAACGGTTTACATAGCGATGGGTCTTAGAAATAAATGATAAAGTCTAACGCGTCTTAAACAAAGAGGCCGATGTGGCGCGCTGCTGTTTAGCCCGCTCTTCTGCTTTGTAAAAGCTTAAGCGGGTAGTCAAAAGGGTAGTCATTGTTGTCCTCGTAGTTTACGAGGTCCTACACGATAGCCCGGATGCGGCGCTGCAGATCCCTCCACTTCTATTTGGGTGCGTTCTTGATCTTGCGCCCGATCCTCATCTCCGTGAGCACCGCCTCGGTGTCTTCCTGCTCCTTTTGCAGCTCATCGAGACAGGAATGCAGAGGTGGATGCTTTTTTTTTTTTAAATAGGCGGGAACGGTTTTCACGGGTTGTGTAGTGTTAGCGACTGATGAGCGCATTTGCTTAGGAAGTAACGAGTTTAGCGAGTGTTTTAAGGTACCAACCTGAGCAGATGATACATGGAGGAACGCCAATAGAACTCGTAGGGGGGATTTTGCTTTATACGTTCGGTGGGTCCAGAGCCGATGAGCACCAGCAGTTGTTCCAAACAATGTTAGACTTCCGTACACATACACTGAAAATTGAAGAAATATTTGTGTTGTGTTCAAATTTGTTATTAAGATTTTACAGAAAAATCTGAGTGCACCAGTCGCCAGCCAGGAATATTATTCTGGTACAAGTCAGGTATAAGCATTACCATGGCCAGAAAAATTACTAAATAGATGTAAAAACAACTCCTGTACATTACTATGAGAATAAATTATTGAATTGAATGAAAAGAAATGTTTTTGTAAAAAGCTTAACTTGCATGCATGCGTTTCCTGTGAATTTGTTTGAAGGAGGTGGACCTGTGAAAGGAAGGGTTTGGGAAAATAGTCACTACATAAAAACTACACACTGCATCAATTTAGGATTAAATGTGTATAAGTGCATAGATGGACGCTAATTTTGCCGTTGGTGCCGGTGCGCGCACGCTCCAGGAACATGCCCATCTTCACCTCCAACTGGACGGTGCAGTCTGTTTGATGTGCACGATTGTGCTGCAACGGATTGGTCTGCGATTGTCAACAAAATTGCTACTAACTCTAAAAAGGGACCACCACCAGTGGTTGACCCGAGGATTTTGCAAAGTTCTGGATGGAAGTACTCGAAAAAAAATCACATAACTGAAGTACGAAAAATTGAAAGATTTGTGTTGTCCATTGTGATTATGTTCGAGTACTTTTATTTCGAAATTTGCAAAAACCCCAGGTCAACCACTAGGGGCATCTTTTAAGAGTAACTATCAAATTTTTTGACCGTCGCAGACCCATCCGTTGCGCAGCAATCGTGCACACCGAGAAGGACTGCATCGTTCCAGTTGAAGGCGGAGATCGGCATGTTTCTGAAGAGTGTGTACTGGGGCCAACGGCAAAATTAGCGACTATCTATGCTCTTAATACATCTTTAATCCTAAATCGATGCGGTGTGTAGTTTTTATGTAGTGACGATTCTTGCTTGCAAACCCTTACATTTCACAGGTCTGCGCCCTTAACTTTTGCAGAGGCCATCTTTTCAAGAAGCAGTCTGAAAAATATCGTCAGTTTAGGGAAAAGATTTTCACGAGACTTGTATGAATTCTACTGCAGCAATGGGAAATACCTGGGTAGTACAGTACCTACGTAGTACCTAGGTACTTTTCCGGTACTTTACACTGTAAAATGCTTGCAAACTTTATTCTTTGCAACGTTCCAAAGAATTTGTGAGCATTGTATTGCAAAGAAGTTGTTTGCAAGCTGGCAGAATTCTTCAAACAATGTGTTTGCATTGCAAAGAAATAATTTGTAAGCTTGCGAAGAACTAGTTCGTATTACGATGCTTGAAAATTCTTTGCAAGCTGCAAAGAAAATAGTTTGCAATACGAACCTATTCTTTGCAAGCATTTTGCAGTGTACGTTACCTAGGTACTTTTTGCGATACCGATACTGTCTTTCGCCGAGACACGTAAATCTTTATTTTCGATAAACATTCCAAAATGCTTAGGCGTAAAAAAACATTCGAACTGTTAAAAAAAAGCGGGAAACATTTCTAGGTATTGATCTTTTCAAAGTAACTTTACACAGTACCTAGGTACTGATTTTGAAATTCTACTGGTACAGTACCTTATAGGTACTGAGGCAGGACTACCTTTTCCATCCCTGTTATACTGCTCACTTTTGTAATTCGACACCTTCACTGTAAAAAATTTCTATGGTAGATTTCCTATAAATGTATCTGCAGCAATTCACATATGCATGTATAGGACTTTTCCCATACAGGCGTATAGTAATTCTACCATACGCGTTAGTATTCTTACCATACAAGTATAGGAATTTCCCTATACACCTATGTAGGGTATGTACTATGTGGGCGTGGCATTATCCCTACACATGTATAGGAATTTTCCTATACACCCGATGCTCTTTCAAAAAAGAAAAAGTTTTATTCAAGCACTTCCCCGCTGTTTGCCCCCTTCCATATCGCCTTCCTGCCGCCTTTCGGTAATTTCATTTAAGTAAGGGAGGGTGGGGCAGCTAGTGACAGGGGCAGTTAGTGACAGTTGTCACCCCAGGCCGTCCTATTGAATTTTCGCGCTAACTTCGATCGGCTTAAACAAGTTTCAGAGCTCGAAAAACATTTGCCACAAGGCGGTGGTGTTCGGCAGATTGTTATGGCGGCGGTGAAACTTTGAATGTGTCTGATCACAATTTTGAGGTAAATTTCGACTTTTGCCCCTTTTTCTTTCTGTAAATACTCCGTAAGTATCGCCAACTTCACCACACCATACGGATTTTTCTGTGATTGGTATGGACTATTTATAGACTTAATGATTTTACTCGCGGTCCGAACTTATTCCGACGAGTTAACCTCTCGTTCACGTTGAAACACCGTACTGCACTTGGGGTAGATAGTGACAGTTTTTCCGGGGCAGTTAGTGACACCTAGATCTTTATATTACAACGCGTATTTCTCTCTATTCATTCAAAACCTAGTCCTATGATGAATCTTATCGACTCTGTTGACAAAATGCACTGTACTGACAATTTTTTTCGATGTGTGATCTAACCTCTTTTGGTTTTTGTTCAAAACTACTTTTGAAACTAGTTTTGTGAGTAAAACTCTCTCTAGCTCCTAAACGGTGAGAGATAGAGCCAAACGGACGAACTTTTAACCCGATGGGCTCTAGTTTCAGAAGTTACCCTTTAGGAGACCATCAAATATTTTCTAGAATTAGTATATTTACTTTTGGGCCAGTTTTATGAGTAAAACTCCCTCTAGCGCCTAAACGGTGACAGATAAAGCCAAACGGACGAAATTGTAGCCCGGAGGGCTCTACCTTCACGAGTTAATCCTAAGGAGACCACAAAAAAATCAAAAAAAAAAATCCCACTCCTTGGACCAACCCCCATTCCTCCTAGACACCATTAAACTTGACTTCATACCAGACTATTGAGTAAGAAGCATCAATTTAGTCAAAAGAATCGTTTCAGATAGTAAAAGCTAGGTTTAATGCAATTTTATACCCTTGTCACCAAGTGCCCCGACCTGTCACTAACTGCCCCGGGCCGGGGTACATAGTGACAAATGCAGGGCTCTAGTTTAAGCCAATTTGTTGACACACTGGCTCGTAACTCATCGAACCACCACCTACATTACCTCGGCAAAGGTTGCAAGTAACTATCTAAGCTTTCGTGCTCAACATTTGGCCGAAAATAAGCGAAATAAGCCCGATTTCCAAAAAGTGTCACTAACTGCCCCACCCTCCCTTAAGTAAGCATTGACGTAATTATGAAATACCTTACCGGATGGAGAGTTGAACCTCGGACTTCTGGCTTGCGATCCCGTCACGCTGACCACTAGACCACGGAGACTTGTTGGGAGGCGTGCCTTAGCAAGCCTGGGTCATCCCAGAGCCACGCGCCGCCCCTCGCTGGGCCATTCCCAGAGGGTCAGCCAGGTGTCGGCGCGGTGCCGGGGCTAGCTTACGGCTTTGGGGATTTACTCCTAGATGTTTTGACGTCGAGTTTTGAATTTTACTGCCTGCCCTGACTTGAAATTCGATCATGAGAGTTTAAACAGCTAAATAGACTCTGAATGTGTCCAACCCTGTGTGTCTGTGTGGTGTGGCGTCAGGCGTCAGAAATAAGTTCATAAAATGACCGCGCCGGCCAAGATGTGAAAGGTAGAAAGATGTGCATATCTTTACCCGTTTTTTAAATTCCAAACATTGTATAGGAAAATTGTCACCATCTAGTAAATTTCCTATACATATTAAGGAAAATATGCCTACCAGACACGTATCGGAACTTTCCTATACATTTCTGGGGATTTGCCTATACACTTGGTAATTTTCCCATACACGTCTTCCAAAATAGGAAAATTCCTAAACATTTATAGTAATTTTCACCTCCGATACGATGTATAGGAAATTTCCTATACATGCGTGTAGTAGAATTCCTAACACTTTTTACAGTGTTGGAATAAAAGGCACGCAGTTCAACCGCTGGATCCGAGATCCACGCAGTTCAGCCGCTGGATCCGAAATCCACGCAGTTCAGCCGCTTGATCTGAGATCCACTGAGTTCCTATCCCTGTAGCGAAGATCTGCGTGGATCTCGGATCAAGCGGCTGAACTGCATGGAACTCGGATCAAGCGGCTGAGCTGCGTGGATCTCGGACCCAGCGGTTGAACTGCGTGCCTTTAATTCCAAGGTGTCGAATTGTCCAAACTCTATAAATAGTTATCGCACACTGTAAAATGCTTGCAAACTTTATTCTTTGCAACGTTGCAAAGAATTTGTGAGCATTGTATTGCAAAGAATGAGTTCGTATTGCAAAGAAGTTCTTTGCAAGCTGGCAGAATCCTTGCAAACAATGTGTTTGCATTGCAAAGAAATAGTTTGTAAGCTTGCGAAGAACTAGTTCGT